AAACTTAATCGTTTATATTGTCATCACATAATAGTTTTTAGTGTACAATTTATAACATTTTTTTTTTTCACCAAAACTTAACCAACTGAAATCACAGCTGCTTATACCAAACATATTGCAATTATTTGTCAGGTATATTTGCGTTTAAAAATGTTTTATAATGGTTAAGACTTTAAGAGGCCATTATGCGCCGGCGCAATATTTGTTGTGTATCTATATGAACCACGTTCAACATTGATGMAAATTAGAGTCCAATAGAATCAATTTTAGTTTTGTTACTTATAGTTGAACTTAAATTTAAGAAAGATATAATATACTTTTAAGATATTTTAATTACCTATTTATATACATGTTATGAGTAGGTATGTAAAAAATTACGATTTAACGCCAGAATATCACTGACGAATTGAAATATACATAGTAAAAAAATCCAACATAAAAATGCGGACAATGTTCTTAACTTAAGAGGACGCCACGCCCGCATGTATAGTGTTGTTTCCGTCGTACAAGTGCGTAGCATAGCAAATTTTACGCTCAGCAGATCACGATTATCTTCGTTAATTTAAAATTTAGAGTGAATTGACTTATTATAAAAATTAAAGGCATGATTATTACCGAGGGCATCTCATAGGCTTTTTATTATATTTTAATTTTAAACTGAGTTATGTATATTTTAAAATTGTAAATTATTTTTATGTCTAAAAATACTCATAACTCGGTTTACAATAAAMATATRATAAAAAGCCTATGAGATGCCCTCGGCMATAATCTTGCSTTTAATTTTAATAACAGGTCAATTCACTCTAAATTTTAAATTAACGGAGATAAACGTGATCTGCTGAGCGTAAAATTTGCTATGCTACGCACTTGTACGACGGAGACAACAACACATGCGGGCGTGGCGTCCTCTTAATGTTTAATATAATAATAGATGAATTCACTCTCAAATTAAAATTGACTGCAACTCAATATTGTAGTTCAGCTWAAAGGAAACGTTTTGTGTTGCTCTTTGTTAAGCCGCGTCCACACCTGAGCACGCACAGACCGAGCATGTGTGCTCACGCCGAGCCGACCGACTCGGCTCGCGTTCGCTGTGCGTCAAAACCATGAAAATTTGTAGAACGCACAACATGAGCACACATGGTCGGTCTGTGCGTGCTCAGTTGTGGACGCGGCCTCAGGCCTAACCACGCGAGCCCGAGTGCAGGTATAGATAATATTCTCAATATATTTTATATTTTATCGTTTCCCGGTAACCCGACCAGGATATAAGTCATCTGTTGGCCACCGCCGTCTACACCGCGAGTGCATGCTATTATAATACRTATATATCAGAGGTGGCCACTGACTTTAATTTTGGGAGCCGCAAATTTACAAAGCTATTTCGAAGCGAGCCACATTGTTAAGATAGGCAAACACGTTTTGGACTTTATAACAAATAAAGGAACATCCATTTTTTACACTACACAGAGCATTATTTTTCAAGTAGGCTAACCTACACATTAAGAAATGAGATTTTACTTTTGAAAAGTGCTTTACCCTAAGATTGGTGTCAAGAGCCACACGGGACTCCACCGGGAGCCGCATGAGGCTCGCGAGCCTCGTTGTGACCACCCCTGTAATATATACTAGTGCGTTATATTATAATTTATAATGTATATCAGGGGCGGCCAAACGGTCGATCGCGGACAATTTCAAAGTCGATCATGTTAGAATTATTTATTTTTAGGAACACGCGCAAGAATTGTTATCGAATTGTCGTCYGTCGATAAGTTTTATCTGTTTGTAATGTCACACTTCAACAATGCCCAGATCAACAAAATAATATGTTAATTAAACTTATCTAATTAGATTTTAGAAATTATTATTTATTATTATATTACTTATTTAGTAATTAGTAATTAGTTAATAATACTTATTGTATGTTTCTTAATAATTATAGTTATTTCTATAATAAAAAAATGTTCTATAAAAGTCGATCCTAAAGGTGATTTTTAGTAGATGGTGACCAAAAAAAGTTTTGCCGCCCCTTGATGTATAGCGACGGTGTACATAGTATTTTCAATCGCCCACAGAGTAATAACAACGCGAGCCCGAAGCGAATATTATTATGTAATATTCATATGTAACACAATATATATGTACATATTACAACGGTAGCGTGTGTTGAACATAATAATATTGTATGTATATATTATATATATATATGTATGCATAGCAATTTTACTAGTGGCCCTCGCGCGTATTCAAATTCGTGTTCCGATTGCCCCTCCCCCGTCGTCGCATATTATACCGTTCAACAGATGACRACGGTTACCCCATCGAAGAGCCGGCAGCGGCGGCGTGGGCTCACTCGCATCCAAAGTATATATATATATATAGGTTAATACATGTTATATAAGTACGAGCGTATATACTCGTGTATGGTATAGAGACATAGAGTCAATTTATGTGTGTGTATATTAAGTTAAATATATATATACACACTCACAAACAATAAGCGAATCGTTTCGGTGGCTGGGCGAGCGGTGTTGTACACGTTGACGACATATTTTACATACATACATATACGAGCAATATTATATATGAATGCATTTTATGTGTATATAAAGATATGCCTCATTGGCGCGAGTGCGTGACACATCGCGGGATTGAGAGGCACGGCAAGAGCAGCTGTCAGTCGCCGACGTGCCGCGCGCCTCGTTCGTATATTATTATTTTGTCCGTGAGCCTCGTTCGATATCGATTCGAAATAATGTTATACATTACCTAGTTAGGTGGTATTGCACGGCCATGTGATAAAATTTAGATAAAATTATAATAGAAAATAATATATAGTTTCCGGGAATGCATTACTATACCCACTAATGGAAACGTGAAATATAGGTACGATTTTCAGAATACTTGAATTTAAAACGAAAACCCTTATCATATTAAATTATGCAGTCTTTTAAATACCAGTGTATTTATTTTTAACTCGTATAGGTAACTGTTTTATATTAAAAACAATCAATTCATTAAAAAATTAAAAACTTAATCATGTGAAAGTATTTGAATTTAACATCATACAATTTTAATTAATTAATACTTAATTAACCACTAATATTATGAATATTTTAATCTATATTATAGTTTTTTTTTACATTAACAATATATATATGAATATCTAAGTAACTCGATTACGTCGAGTATTGCTTTTGGAGAATTTTCTTTATAATTTGAATGTATTTTTTGTATGTATATCAAAATGAAACAAAAATATCCATCATTGTTTGGCGAAATATAATATTATATACGATTTTTTTCATTCCTTTTCACTGCTATATCATGCAATCCATCCAATGTTGATAAGAACGGAAATTATCGTGCAAACAAATCATCACAATTTGCAACTGTTATTGCTGCACGTAATGCATTTGAGTTGACGCTTTCGTACTTCGTAGTCCATAACTACATCTCGTACGTGTACTCATAATAACCTAACAATGTATAAATAATTGTTTGGATTATTGCGTTTCGAATGAAAACTGTTTTCATTGTAGTGACTTAAATCATCGGTAAAATTAATAAAAACGTATAGTAAAATGGAACAAAAAGCGAACTCAAAATTATTGACACAAGTTGATAAATTAATATTCAATTGTTGTGTACTTTAGGTGGAAACTATAATTTGTATTTAATTTTCTATGATAATAAACCAGTCAGCATAGATACTTACTTATTTATAATTTAATATGTGTAAGAGATATTTTTTGCTAACGGCTTCAGAAAAAAATTGAATGCGTAATATATATTATATACATTTTTTTTCCATTAGATTACATTTTTTACATTTAGTTCACTAATTCGGATTTGACATTGTACAACACACAATAGCAATTTTCTGACGGCTCTTTAAGCGTAATGACCAATTAGTTATTACAAAATAATAATTAATAACAAAATATATATTTCGTTGTTTCGTGTAGGACGCATTAGCATTATTGCATATGGTTGGTAGTTGGTCCTATATAGCACTTGATGTTTCCATAACTCGGACGCATACCACCTGCAAGGCTGCAGCAGTAATATCGGATTTTTTTAGAGTTTTAGTTCGAGACGCATTCTTGACGTGTCACATGCAACCGAATTCGTGGAGAGTCGTAATGTGCGTCATTCGTGGCGCGAGATGCTAAAAATATTGTACAACAGCAGCAGAAACATATCGTCGCGAACATTGCGCGTGACGAGGCGTCGGCGGTTCGAAGTATGGTGCGCGACATCCACACTATATATTATATTACTATTATTATAATATTAATATATTATTATAGTCACGTGTACACTGACTAATAAAGAATACGGATTCAAATCAGTACGATGCAGTCTCCGAATTTTACAAATAACACATAGGTACAACGCGTTATGTATAGTGTTATATYATAACAAATCTGTGTTCAGCAGTTCAACCATCATATATCATATATTGATTGTTAAATATAATTAGGTATATTACATAAACAAAGGTAAAGGTTCAACACGTTTTTAATCAATATAATTACGAGTGTATGAAAYATTGCAATAACATTGTTTGATAACTATGACGAGTCTCATGACTCGTTTAAAAATTAAGAGATCGTAAAAAATCCCGCGACGATAAAACATRTAGCTGATATAATGGCGGTCTTACCTCTGATGGGCTGCAATTTCACTATACGGCTTTAATATTACACAGTTTACATGAATTAAAATGGCGGGACCTCCTAAACGCAGTAGCAATTATTTATTTGGACGTCGCGTGCTCGGAGACAACCTGACGTGGACGAGGCGTCCTCGTGAGTTTARTAGCTGCAGCATCAACAGCCCGACAATATTTATGGCACTTATCGCCTCGATCGCTAGCCGAGTGACGTTTAAGACAATAATATACGATCATGTCGCATTCTCTATCTTATCTCAATCATTCCCACACACGAAACGCTTATCAATAATGTTACGATATAGGTATACATTCGACACGATTCAATTTTTTTTTTTTTGATCTCAGTGATTATGTTTATTGTTATATATAATATATTTACATTCCGAGGTATTATGACGCACTGACTTAAAAYAATAAATAATAATTATTATTGTTATTATTATATGCGGTATTATATAACGCAATACTTATAAATTTGGTACTAACGTTTATTTACACATGCTAAACATTAACGTGAATACATAAAAACATTATACAGAAGGGCAGTAGGGAATTATAAACACATGTATAGGTACGAGTCAGTAATAATAATAATAATAATAATGTGTCCTTTTTGAGAGGTACAAAGAATCGCGGGTTTCGAATGCCGACGCAGCTTGTTCTGCTGCAGCGACGGCGGCGCATCGAAGTGCACGCAAACCATTTCAGTCTTTATTATTTTTGGTTCTCAACAAATGCGTTTTGGTCTTGGCGAAGAAATTGTCCATCAACGCCTTCTGGTGCTCCAACATCCTCCTCGCGTGCTTTTCCATCAGCACGTTTTGCATCTCCCGATCTCGCCGCCAGTCTTCTCTCAGCACGTTGATGCTGTTCTCTAACGCGTGCAGCTTCTGCAGTAAGTGCTGTTCCGGCGTGCCTTCCGTCTGCGTTTGTACGTCACACGACTGGATGATGTCCACTTGCGGTTCGGTCACTCTGTAGTAGTCCGTTTCCATTTTCATGTCGTCTATGTACTCAGTCTTAATGTTGTCTACGGTGTCGAGCCGGGGAGGAGAATCTAAACGACAAAATAAATAGTCAACTAAGAGAAAAAAAAGTATAAGCTATAGACACGTTAACTATGGATAATATATTATAATATTCTATTAATATTTATTATTTAACATCGGTACGTATACCATGGCGTGGCAATTTGTTAATAATTTATTTGTGCGTGAGTCTATTTGGGTCGCTTACGTACGATTCAATTATTTTCGAGAGACCTCAAATATATTATAATAATTAATTATGATTTATAATAAAATAAACATAAAATATTTGAAAACATAAATAATAGAACCAGCACGCACCAGTATCTATAAAGTATAAATGTTAWTATAGCTTTAAGTATGTCTAATTATTTATCGTTCTATATATTATTACACACTTTATAGAGTGTTACCTACGAATACTTACAATAAGTTTTAACGTTATCTGGGCATGAATAATTTATATTATAAAAAATTGATAAATTATTTTGAATTTTTTGTCGAAACCCCAGCAGTTAAATTTAAAGTGAGAGTATTGTTTAGCACTCATTACATTAAATTGTTTTGAAATACACTGACAGCTTTGATTTATATCAAGAGGAGTGATACTCAAATGATGAAACTATATCAAACTAAATTTTGAAAAATTAAATACCTAATATCCGGCATATTAATTAATTAATTAAAACTCACTCGAAACAACTTCACAAAGGTACGTCATGGCATTGCTTGGTTTGCAGCTTAATACTTCGTGAAGCAAATGAAAATACGACATCCTTGAACTCGCTGCACCGTTTTTATCAATTCTTACTAACTCTAATTTGTAATCTTGCTTCAAGTGTTTCCACTTGGTCCTCAGTTGTGTCGCGTCTCTATTGAAACCAGCAGCTGCCATTGGTTCAACCAGACTAGAATAAAGATCTGAATTCCTTTTCCTAAACAAAATATACAGTACATATTATATAGTTTGTAATGTTTGTATATAGCTTTTGTAGATTAAAAACCATAGTCAAGATAATAAGTACTAAAAATGATCAATACTYTGCAATAGCAATTTTTTAATATTTTTATAAAAATAATGAATRATAAATACGAGTACTGTTTAACATTTTAATACAGGTTTCACAGCGMAATTTGTAAGTAATTTTGGAAATCAAACAGTTAAGTAAATTTTCTATATATTTAACTATTCATTTGCATCAATGTATATATGGTGTGTTTAAATGGTAGTAAATGGTAGTATCTTATCATAACTTTCTGAATTATAAACTGAATTATATAATTCATTACACTTATACTGCATAATCAACCAATAATTTGTATTTATATATGTATTATGAACATGCAATTATCATTATTTATCAGACATTATGTTTGATGTACGTATGTAACGCAATCAAATATAAGTATATATTATATTATAACGTCATAATAATTTAATAAAATATTTTTCGCGTTTTCATTAATTAAATTGCAGCTCAATTTTTAAAATAGGTAGTTTATTCGATTGGCAAATGTCGATGCATAGATAAGAATAAATGATTAAAAAAAATTATGTAATACATATTATTATACTATATTATACTTACATATTCAAGTATTTTATTTGGACGTTATCTATGTKACTATGGGTATCGAATGTCGGAATGTAGACATATTATTAGAATAATAAGCATCAAATCCGGAACCATAACACTACTACACTTGATACCATCGTAATGTAGTCAATTTTAAACTCGTTAAAGTTTGTTAGTAGGCATTATTAAATTTGTTTCTATTTTAAAATAATTATCAAACGGTCGCCATTTAAGTATTGCAAAATTAACGATATTTTCTTGTTTAGTAGGTGTATGGTAACTACATTATTGTGACATTCCACTTAGAACAAAAAATTCAAAAACCGTTTTATATTTCGAAATTCAAATCGAATTATCTATTTAAAAAAACTGGATTTTGTCTTTTTAATACCGGCCTACACATATAATCATCTCATGCCAAATTACGTTTTTGAGTACAAATTTACATAGCACTAAACAACTTTTAAAACATAAAATAGTTTTAACAGCCTTAATCTTCGGCTTTCCCTTACCAGTAGCAATAATACTTTCACTTTATGAAGCCATAATATTATTTATAGGAGGTTATTGGTTACCTATTGCAATATTGCTTTCACGCGTAAATTTTGAAACCGTGATGTCTTATAAAATCGACAAATCTTTGATAGGTATCATAACAATAAATTAAATTGAAATTCATGATTTTGAATCTAAATAAATTGTAAGCCCAAACAAATTGTGCAAAAGGTAATAACTATTTTACTAAGAATTTCGAGTATTCAGCAACTGCTAAAATAAATTCAAAAATATTCAATATAACGAGATGTTTAAAATTAAATCGTATTCATCATATTATTGTGTTCATTTAGCTATACGTCATATTAAATATTATWATAAAGACTATCGATATCCAGAGAAAAATTTAATTTATGCTATCGACGATATATTACTTATTTTTATTTAATTTTAATTCATAWAGACAAAATATTTTGATTAAAATAGTACAAAATGTATAAATCCACAAATTAGATTAGGTTTGCTATAAAATTCATACATTTATTTCATTTTATAAGGTTATGAGTAGGCTATGAAGATGCGCGTTACACAAGTTTGATTTAAAACGTGTTTAAAACCAGAAACGAAAACATCGTAGTCTAGTATTAGGAGATRTACGACAAGTTCCCCCCGGTTTATAGAAAAATGTAGTCTTGTCCGGTYTGAGTACGAGTAAAACGAAAAAAAATATATGCTGGTCTTGCTCGAACGAGCTCAGATTATAACTGTATATCCGGTCTGGACTCGAAAATAACAAACCGTGCAAAACTCACGAGAAAATATTATGGAAAGCGCTTGGCTTATAGTGGCTGAAATAGCAAAAAACACCTAAGAGAACACTTTATTAGTACAGTAGCTAGACAAATAATACTTGGCGTTTTATATTTTGATATATTTTATTGAACAACCTAATTTTTTCAGAAAAGAAGCCGTAATAATATTATCTTTAAAGCATTTCCTCTTATTTAAACTTTAAAGTAAATAGAACATCAATGTAATGCGGTAAATCAAAATTATTGTTAACCGATATACCTAGTTGATCTAATATTTGGTTCTAATTTTATAAATAATCCATAAAAATTACTAAATTTATTCTAATCGAGTATTACCCGGTTGATATAGGTTTGATGAGCAAATAAACAAATACAATATACAACATATCTAAAAATAGTGTTATATACATGCTATAATATGTAAATATGTAAAAGTGATTGGGATTATTGATTATAAATAATACTTTAAGCTCTGTATAGGTACTCATAATCATATTATGCTCAATATCAACTGCAATGCAGCTTTTTTTGAGGATTAATATATACCTACTAAAATACTGTTCAAATAGTTATGATTGACTATAGAGTGTGTTGATTTCATTCCTATAGCATGTTTGTAKAACAAATATTAATTGACGGATTATAAAGATAAATTATATATTTTTCGAAGGAAAATAAAATATTAGCTGTTGATGATATTTTGAATTTTTTTTGTTACAATAATAATAAACAAGATAAATAATATCTATAACATAATATTATTATTAAATATACTATGTAAATTGTTAAATGTAAAAACCCCATGACAATTGTTCAAATAACACTTARAAATTTGAAAATAACAAACAAAATGTACCTGTTATTAATTGTAGGTCCAAAAATATTAGAAACCAGAAATAAAAAAATAAATTTAAGTTTTAAACTGAAGCCAAACTCAATAAAATAATGTTCATTTTACATCATTATGTAGGTATATTATAATTAGGTTTAACCCCGTTACCMGAGACCTGGGAAAAGTTAATCAATTTCAACTATCTGCTGAGGATGTAGTCAATTTGATTAACTACAATATAATATTGTAATAATTAATAATTTAAATATTATCAATATTTAAAACACGCTTAGATTACTCTAATTTAACCTACATCATATCATATATATAGGCATAGGCCATGGTTATACTATATTATTATCACATCGTGGTCATTTTATTTTACGGGGGTCCTGTGAAAATGCCTCGGCCAGTTGTAGGTACCCACCTATGCGTGACATTTGGTTATAGTGCATTATGTTGACCATCATATTATTAATGCAACAGCCAACAGGTCTTAGGAATATTGCATTTGGATTGCATGGCCATAATATCAGCCGTCTTATAAATTAGGTTTATTAACTGAACTGATCTGTCTGCGCTGATATYATGTCATCGAATCATCGTACGCACTTAATATATGTTCGGAAACCATCCGCACACGTATTACCAACTGCTATATTTAACGACGGATCCTATGGTAATGAACGGTGTCGGAAAATATAAGTACATACCACCGATAAAATGTGGTATGAAATTCGTGTTTGGCGTTCGTTGTATTACTTACATTAAATTGTTAAATTGTTGGAATACTGAAAGATGGCTTATACCTGTCCGTTCTTTGTACATTATGTAATCCGGTAATCTCAACGCAAATTCTTAATACCATTCTACTGTACTGATATTTATATAAAATACACGTAGATACTACTGGTATTATGCTGGTATATTAACATTATAATATTGTGTTATTGGAATACCGGAAATCAAATCTTGCATTCCGCGCCGATCGAAAATTTCAGCGTTCGATTTATGTACCATATTATATTAATTATATATTGAAATTTGATAAATGTTTGAAATGTCTTTATCTTATGGCTCAGGTAGTCGGGGCAATGATATTATATCCTTAAGTAATACTGGATTAATAAACATATCATACTTAAAATTTTCATTTAAATCACCATGCTTTATTCTCTGAATCAAGCACGAACACAAAAAATGAATTCGGAGGTTCATAGACAATTTACAATAATGAAAATTTTAGTTATCGATGAATATAAATATTAATTTATAAAAAATAAAATACACAACTATTAATTATGAATCGCGGAAAAAAGTCCGTAGTAAAAAAGTCCTAGGACAAAAAGTCCGCCGTAGAAAAGTCCAAGATAAAAATGTCCGTTATAATATTATATTATCAAAAAAAATCAATGATAATAATTATAATATATAAATAAATATAAAACAATCAAAATAATTAATCATACAAATAAAATATAATTATATATTAAAATTATTTCTTAATTAAATTAAGTATTAATTTTTCCTTTTACCTAATTATATGACGTAATACCTATATCGGACTTTTAACCACGGGCTTTTTATACCTCGGACTTTTTTACCTAGGACTTTTTGGTAGTCTACCATTAGTTTTAGGAGTATTGAAACTTCAAAACCACCATGTATACGTGCCTGTTCTGAATACTCATTATATGAGGCACTACGGGTAAATCTTTAGATTCTAATATTTKAAGTTACTTGTTCATACACGTGGGTAATTAATAGACTTATACATTCCAGTGGTAATAGCATTTTACTGAGGTACAGACAATTATAATACAATATCGGTTCAAGGTTCAAATACATTGTATAATTTGATTCTATAATAGTCACTATGTGAATATCGCGAATTAAAATATTGTATAGAATATATTATATTATGTCATCAAAAACTATTATTTTTGTAGGTTCTCTTTCGTTAAACAGTTGACCATCGGCGAACATTATTTTAACTATTTTTAAGTTTATTCATTTTTAATCCTCTCGATGCTTGTAAGAAAATATCACACAGAATATAGGAGTATCATATATTTAGTATTTAGATGTCACAGATCTTGTCATATATAAATATTTTAACGTATAAACTAAAAGTAAAAAGTACTATTATAATTTRCAAATGGAATGTTAATGGTAAAAGTAGATAATACCGGCAAGCGTCAATAGGTAAATTATAATTTTTTATTTTTATTATTATTATTAATTCATACACGAGTATCACACGATCGGACGCAAAATATTCGTAATTTCAATAAAATCAATACCATGGTGTAACAWAGTTTGCACGTTCTATATATCATAACAATGTAGGTTCTTATGACAACATCGATGAGCGCTCTTTGTGCATCCTGCAGTTACTAAYCAATTATTAATTCATGATGTGAATCAATGTAATATTAAAAGGTTTTAAATATTAATTATTACATTTTAATAATTCATCTATTTTATGGTAATTAWTAAATTACTTGCYCGTAAAATGTTAAATTTGAATTAGTAMCATTTTAAGATAATGCCAGAATATGTTAAAAATGCACTGTTATTACCAAAATACAATAATAAGTGAMGATAATTGTATTTAAATTTTAACCTCCTCGATTTCCAATGAATTTAAGTCAGTATAGATATAAGTAGTTTTATCTAATATAAAACAAATACATTTTATATAAACAATATAATAACAGATTTTCATTAAATAAAATCAATCGCTAGATTAGTACACAAGTTTTTAATCTACAGGTAAACTAACTAGGTAAAGACAAAATGATTAGCAATCACTGACCACTGACCAGTGCAGGCATTTWAATATTTTTTTCGTATCAGGGTACCACTTGTGTTTTCCGCCGATGTATAATATTGTTTATAATATTATGCTGTATCTCGATTCTATCCAYGTGCTATTATAAAATTATTGCGTCGTATTAATACTGCACTTAATCGGAGTTACTTTAGAATAATAATTTAACACGACAACGACAACAACAACAACAACAACAATAATAATAATATGATAATTTCAAAAGCCACTTGTTCGAGAGACATCACAGTTAGGGAACCGAGGAGTTTATCATTAATATATTGGCAGTTGACGAGAAAAGGAGTAAATGAATATTCATATTGTAATTTTTTTATAGAAGTGAAGCATACATATTACAATATTATCATAATAATCATTACATAAATTACAACTCATTACGATTATAATATTATTATAAAATGGCACAACGCACACGTATGAATAACTCGTATGTTTTCTATATTAATATGCAATTAAAATAATGTTATATACRAAACAATCGACAGTGAAATCCTATCGCTTATCAGTCAAAAATGCGTATCGCACTACAGTGCGGTTCCGTGCTATTTACATAATGTCCATTATTACGAATTGTTGCGGATACACATCGCAAATAATAATAATAATATTATTTTTAAAGCGATATGATGTGAAAAAATAAAAATAAATTTATATATTATATAGAAACCGTAAACACTTGAATGGAAATATCGATACTCTGACACGGGCACACGGCCGATTAGGTGGTTCTCAAACTTTTTATACCGTATGAACTATGAGTACCATCTAAAACGTATACGCTATTAGTAATCAAATGCCAATWGTTTGAGTGTCAGTTTATTATTCTAATTTATTTTTTTTTTTTATAAATCGAGCTTTCATTTGCGTACCACCTATGTAACGTTGGTGGTACGCTTACCACAGAAACGCTGATGTTTAACCAATACCAATACACGGGGGAAACGTTATACTCCGTGTGACGACGTACCTACGGTGTTAGATTTGATCGTACAGTAGATATACGTTACTTATGTCTCATTGGTAGTATAATAATAATAATAATAATAAATTATGATTGATAAACGTAGTCGAGGGATAACGACGAGAATTATAACCATATGAAATTACTGCGACTAGCCGACCTAACTGACGACGTCGGTTTCATCACCGCAGCGCCACCGGATCAAAAAAAAAATAATAATATGTACACCTCGACCACCTACCTACCTACTTTGTACAACAGTGAATATTGTGTTTTTTTTCCCGACTACCCCGTCAATACCTCAACAGCACGGCGAGCACCCCAATCCCCACCCAACCACCACCRGTACGCACCGTACACACCACCGTTACGTTCGAATTTCGATTCGGTGCTCGTGACGCGTTTTGCGCTTGCGCACGCGCAACACGAGAACAATGCTAATGATAATAATTAATATTGCTGTAAAATAGTAAGTAATAACGACGACAACGACAACGACAACAACAACAACAGTTGTTATCATTATTATACGTTACCTCTTGCTGTCCAGCATGTTAGTCATTCCCATGTCGATGATGAGTCTTATGAAGTGTTCGGTCTCCCGGTCGGACCATATGTACCGTTTCTTGACGTCCATGACGCGCGGACCACGCCGGATTTGGCGCGCTTTTTCACAGKCCCCGCGGGGAAATCCAAGCCCGGCCGACGGGCAAAAAAGAACGCTCACGGAAACGCGCAAACACACGGCAGACCGCTGAAGAACAGTACGTAACGCGACACGGCGGCGGTCGTCCTCGCACTGGTTCACGCGCGTCGGGCCCACATCGACGGCGCGGCGCGGTATCGAGCTGGCCGGCTCGGTCCCGGCCCCGGTCGTGTGCACGCGGAACAGCTGCCGKCGCAACGGTCCGTGCGCATGCGCGAGCTCTGGTCCCGCCGCGTACGTACCGTCTGCTGTGGCGCGCGTGCGGGTGCGTGTGTGCGCCGCGAGCGCGCGCGTGTGTGTGTATGTATGTGTGTGTGTGTGTGTGTGTGTGTGTGTGGGTACCGGACGGACGGCTGGCCGATCGGCCGCCCGTGTCGGCCCAGTTTCGGGACGGCCCCCCCACCCCGCTCCCGCCGACCTGACAGTCCGACAGCCGGCCGACGACGACCACTCGGTTTTTTTTTAATGCCTCGGGTCACACCGTCACCACCCGCCACCGTACCGCTCGAGCCGCGTGAGTGCCGAGTATCGCTCGGTATACCTAGTGACAACGGAGGTGGCTGCGGTGGTAACCGGAATCGGGACCCCAACGGACTCGAATGCCGGTGCGCGCGTGCGCGTGTGCGTACGTACGTGTGTGTGYGTGAACGAATTCTTCCGACCCAGCATTATTATAGGTAGTGTTGTTGTTGATTTTTGTTCGACCTGATGTCATTCTTATAATAATATCCCTCATTATTCATTAATAATAACTATATCCTATTAACATTATTATTATATAGTGATATTATTATTTTAAATAAAAATCGTTTTCAGTGTACGCGAAATTACGTCTGACACGACTCGAAATAATAATAATGTGTGACTGCCAAAGTGCCAAGTCCGGGCGGGTCGTCGTAATTGGTATTTATTATGGTGTGGGTTTCGTTGATGGGTGGGCAAAAGGGGGGGGGAATCGTCTCACGTGTTAAACCGATTATCTGCAGTGGCGTGTGTGTGTGTCAGCAATCTCAAATTCGTTATCGATTAGTATTTTTGTGAGGAAACGACTTTCGGGTATTTTCATCAGGACGTACGGATCACCAATTGAAGAACTACATCAACTCGATCTATGCGTTCGAATTATATCATAATATTAATAATATTGTTTCACAGATAAAGCACAATAATTGAATTCATAATACTTAATAACACAGATTAATACACAGTTTTTCCATGTCGAGCACGATTTATTATAGCCCCCGAATATGTCCAACATTCCGTTTAGAAAACCACCGCACTAATATAATAAATTGTGGTCAATAAAGTCGTCTTAATCGATTGTTTTTCGAAGACGATTTGACACCGACTTATATTTTTTTACTCATGTGATCTACCCGACTCAAATTATGGATTATTGATTATTATAAGTTATTATATTATGTTAATATCATATCATGAATTACTTATGATAAATACTTAATTCGTWTTGTATAATATTATWATATAGATATTGTTACTAATTAGTAATTAATTATTATTTTTATTATTCATCATTTATTACACCTGTTATCGCAGGTATTAATTGAATAATAATAATAAAAGAAAAAAAAAC